CGGGAGCCCTCGGGGGATGGCCAACTGATCGCTTAGGCCCGCTCCCCTAAGTTGGACATTCTTAGTGCTGTTGCAGAGGCAGGAGAGGGTCCCGCCACCACTGCTGCACTCGCCAGTCCAGCTTCTTGCTGAGCAGTGCTCTCCCTGTGGGAGCACACTTACCACCAGGGGGCATCTCCTGTATTGAGTGTCTGGCCCCTGGTGGTCAGTGTATGTCATAGCAACTGGTCCTTCCACCGTTGAGTCCATTTGTACATTAGCCTTTTATTATATAGGATTTCTACATCCAAAAAGTCAGTGGAGTTTGTGATAAAGAAGATATAAATTCATGCTTTTATTTTCTTTAAAAAGTTATTGATAGGCATTGCTGAATTATTTTCCCATGAATTGGTGCCCATTTACACTCAGCTGTAAATGCATGCAATTGTTCTCATAGTTATCTCTTCAATACTGCGGACTTTCAATTTTCCAGTTACTAAAACTTACATAATTTAATTTGTTCTTAACTTGATTTATTTTACACAGCAAAACATAAAATGGTGGTTGTCATTTTTTGTTAACAGCACCAAGGAAAACAAATGTTCCTGTGGGGAGAAATATATGAACTTGGATTCAAAGATTTTCATGATATATGTACAGCTATGTATGTGTTCAGATTTCCAAGTTTCTGTAAACACTTTATCTTTAGTTTTTACTTTTTAATGAAAGCTTTATGTACTTGTAAGTAAACTGAAATAAGTATACATATAATTTGAATCTAACCTTAAGAAATGTATTGAATACAGAGTACTTCTAAATTAAGTACTTTAACCAATTGAGTTAAAATGGTTTTGTCTCCTGTACACATAATTTCAGTAAATCACTTTGTTTGATGATTAACTCAGTATATAAATCAAACCACCCCACAAACAAGTGTAGAATCTAAGCCTTAAGGAAAATAGACCAAGAAGAACATTTGGGAAAATTGGACCCTAACAACATCATCATGTGCTTTAAATGGGACCTTAGAAATAAAAACGATCCTTGGCATTGCTTTCGAAAAGAATAAATCTTGATCTGCCCTTTGTCCGACTTTGGATGCAGGATGAATCTTGATTGCATTATGTAAAAGAGCTCAGTAGCACTATTATTAAAAATTCTGAAGCCCAGAAAAAAATACTCCAAGGCTTAAAGCCATTCTGTACTAAGTTTAAACCAAACTCCCAAACGACAGAGCTGTCTGCTGATGGGCAGCACTGTCCCACTCGACAGCGCTATATTTACAGCCTGAACATGCTCTGGGTGGTATTTTTCACAGAGGAAGTCACACTAACACCCCTCAGCCACCTGTATATCTCTTAAAGCTGACTCCGCCTCCCGGAAAACAATTCTTTTGAAAGCTTTTAAAAAGAGAGATCTTGAATGTCAAGGTGTTATAAAAAGATAAAACACCTGCTGTGCATGTTCACAGCCTGCTGCCCAGCTGGGCACTCGGGGCAGTTGTGCTTGAGCCAGTTTCATTAACGGATAGCCTGAGAAATGCTTCCTGCTAGCAGAATGGAGAGTTCTTTTAGGCTTCTACTTCAAAACCATTCAAGTACAGAATATCATTATTCGGCGTTGTTATGATTACTTTCCCCCTAGTTGTTCTTTCTTTTTTTAATTTATATACTAGAGGCCTGGTGCACAAAATTTGAGCATGGGGGGTGGGTCCCCTCAGCCTGGCCTGCACCCTCTCCAATCCAGGACCCCTCAGGGCATGTCTGACTGCTGGTTTAGGCTTGGGAATTGGACCTAAACTGGCAGTTGGATATTCCTCTCACAATCTGGAGCTGCTAGCTCCTAACTGTTCACTTGCCTGCCTGTCTGATCACCCTTAACTGCTTCCCCACTCCCCCACCAGCCTGATCACCCCTAACCACCTCTGCCTGCTGACCTGATTGCCCCCAACTGCCTCCCCTGCACTGGCCTGGTTGCCCCTCACTACCCCTCTCTGCCAGCCTGGTCACACCTCACTGCCCCTGCTACTGGCCTGGTCACCCTATGTAGCCTGCTGTTTGGTCATTTGGTTGCCCCTCACCACCCCATCTGCCAGCCCAGTTGCCTCACAGCCTGCTGCTCAGTCGTTTGGTCGCCCCTCATTGCTCCCTCTGCTGGTCTGGTGACACCATGCAGCCTGCAGTGCGGTCGTCCATCTGGTTGTTTTGGTTGTTAGGGGCCCTGGCTTTTTATACATAGGGACTAGAGGCCCGGAGAACAAAATTTGTGCACTTGGGGGGGAGGCGTCTCTCAGCCCATCCTGTGCCCTCTTATAGTCTGGGAGCCCTCAGGGGATATCTGACTGCCAGCGTAGGCCCATGCCCCATGGGGAGTGGGCCTGAGCCGGCAGGTGGATATCCTTAGCGCTGCTGTGGAGGCAGGAGAGGCTCCTATCACCACTGTTGGGCTCACCAGCCATGAGCCCGGTTCCTGGCTGAGCAGGGCTCCCTCTGTGGGAGTGCATTGACCACCAGGGGGCAGCTACTGCGCTGAGTGTCTTCCCTGATGGGTCAGTGTGTGTCATAGCGACCAGTTGTTCTAGTGTTTGGTCAATTTGCATATTAGCCTTGTATTATACAGGAGAATTTGTTGATTGAATTTATTGGGGTGACATCAGTTAATAGCACTGCATAGGTTTTCAGGTGTATCATTCTATAACACATCATCTGTGTGCTGTGTGTTCACCACCCCCGCAGGCTTACAGAAACGCTTGGACAGAGAACTCCAGTGGGCACTTAACTCTCAAGGCAGCTCTCCACAGTGCAGGGAGGCATTTGCTCTGATGTCGTGTACTTGATAGAGTTACCGAAATTGTTTTAGGGAGAAGGTATGAATTATCCGTAAATGAACAAAGATACGTGCTAGGCTTTTAGTCTATGATTGATATCAAAGCAGCAACGTGAGTAATTGGATTTTGAAAGTAATTCATGTGAAAGCAATAACAAGCAAAGTTGGGAATCTGCCACTCGATTATTTAATTTCTTTCCCCTGCCCCGACTATAAATCAAAACATTCTCAAAAGAGTAGGCATCGTTAAAGACGGGATTTAAAGAATTCCTGGAAAATCGAGATTCTATTATGATAGAAACAGGTTGTCGTTGCTGTTTCGCTGGCTTTGAGAAGTCACTGTGTGGTCGGGATTACCCCACCTCCGGCCCTAGGAGCAGAGTTGCGAGGCGATGTGTTTACGGGAGACAAGGAGAGCTCTGTGACCACCTCTGAAGTTTGGATTAGGATTTGTTGTAAAAATGAAGCAGGTAGTATTGAGGAACACTTGCTCGTGTGCTGCAGAGTGTGTCGGCTGCTTCAGGCTGCCTCACTGCACCCCTGACGTGGCACGTGGCTCTTCTGCCAGGCTGAGTGCTTCCTGGGCAGGGTCCCTATCCCATTCATCTTGGATTTACCAGAGGATAGTGCAGCATCGTATAGAGCAGGTGCATGGGGAGTCAAGTTCCCCTACTGTTTCCTGACCCTCCGAGTCCTCTCCGCCGCCTCACATCTATGTACCCACTGCTCCCATGTCATCCCTGCATCACTCAGTCGGATGCGGCTCTTCTCTTCCCCAATCATCACCTCCTCAGTGTTCCCACGATCTTCTCTTTAAAGAGACCAGAGTGGGTTCCCCGGAGCCTGGACCACATCACACTCTTCCCAGCGCACTTCTTTGCATGTAAGAGGAGCTTTAAAAGCTGCTGATGCACTAGACTCATGGTTTTATAACTAGAAGGACTTCGGGAATAAGTTAGTGTCCTGGATCTCACCGAGGGAACTACCACCACTTAGGAGGCATTTTGAAAAAGTGACAGGACATCTTTAAAACTTATCAAAATAATGTCTGGGGGGAGGGGGATACAGGCTGACTTACAATCACAAGAGTCTTGCACAACCAAGAATTGCTTTGTGTCCTGAACTTTCCTTCATCCTTCTAGTCACTTTACACATAAACGCAAGGTTTTTTGGTGTTTTTTTTTTTTTTTTTTTTTTTTTTTGCACTGTTTTACTTGGATTTCCAGGACTCAGCTGCCGTGTAAATTAAGAAAAGATTGTACTTTATGGTGTTCAGAACTTTTCCAAAAGAATCTCACCATTTAGAAAATCACATGGCCAACTACACCAACAGCCACAGTATTTGAACTGACAACTGCATTTACAGCAGCTGCATTCACTTCCAGATCTGCATACAAAAAAAATACTTACTTAGTTCTCAATTTGCATGCCAAAAACAGAGAAACATTGTCTACAATCTCCAGGCATGTCTCACTTCTTGTAGTGCAAAGTGATTCATTATAAGCAGGTGTGAACATCTGGCCATTGTCGTAGGCCTCTATTTTAGTGCTACTTTATTGAAATTCTAGGTAGATTATATTATCTATGAAGTTTGGATTAGGATTTGTTGTAAAAATGAAGCAGGTAGTATTGAGGACCACTGATCCAGTACATTCTAGTACAGACAGCAAGGAAATGGGAGAGTGGAGGTGAAAGATGTACCCAAGGCCATGCAGCTGACTGAGAAGTGGCCTTTGTAGCTTAGTTAACATCTAGCTTCAGCCCAAATAATTAACATTCCAGATGCTAGCTGACACCCTGGAAGATTACTACGTTCTGTCACATCATAGAAAATACTGCCTTTAAATAACATTTTCTTTTATCACCAGTTATCCCTCCCTTATCCCAGCAAAGGTGTCTAGAAAGGAAAGGTCTTTTAACTTGGAATGTCCACGTTCCTAATGATCCTAACACTGACCAGACCGGGGTTTTTGAGAAAAGGTAATCCTTTGACTCAGTGAGGGCTGGACTGAGCATGTGTTCTTCGGCCCATGACAGTCCTCTCTTCCCCACCTTTCCCAGGAAGCCTGACCCGTGTGTCCCGAGACCAGCCTCTCCCCTCCATCACCGTCAACAGCAGCCCCGACGGGGCCAGCAGGTTCCCTCCGCACCCTCTCCTCCGTCTCCCTAAGAGACCTGACTGAGCAGTGACTGACCTGAGACCCCCCGGGGAGCCTTGGGGGGCTCCTCCAGTATCGAGATCTTCTTCTCCCGAGGGAGGAGGGCTGGCTTCTCGCTGGTGGAGTCGGTGGACGAGCTATCCTTCTCGCAGCCCCCGCTGGGGCCGTTCTGGGCCTGCGGTGGGGGTGGCGGCCCTGCTTCAGGCTTCTCGGCCTTGTCTTTAGCATCTTTGTTGCCTTGATGCTGCTTGGACTTGCTTCTTTTTCGTTTATTGTTCTAGAATGAGAATGAATGAGAAGATACTATGATTTTAGCTCAGACGCTTGAATTATAAGATGAACCCGACAGACCAAAATAAGGTATCTATAACAATAAAAGGGTAATATGCTAAGTAGACTGGGAGACCTTCTGGAAATCCTTCCAGACAAAACCATGGGGTTGGGCTGAAGCAAAGGCAGTTAGAGGCGATCAGGCGAGGGGGGGAGGGCAGGTGGGGGTGATCAGGCGGGGAGGGGCAGTTTGGAGTGAGCAGGCTGGTGGGGGGGGGCAGTTGGGGACAATCAGGCTGCCAAGGGGGCTCATTTGGGGGTGAGAAGGTCAGCAGGCAGAGTGGTTAGGGGCTTAGGCAGGCAGGCAGGTGAGCAATTAGGAGCCAGCAGTCCCAGATTGTGAGAGGGATGTCTGACTGCCAGTTCAGGCCCAACCCCACAGTCGGACATCCTCCGAGGGGTCCCAGACTAGAGAGGGTGCAGGCCAGGCTGAGGGAAACCCCTCCCCTACTATGCCACAGTGGGCGGGGACCAACGCAGAGGCCTGAAGTTTGTGCATCGGGCCCTCTAGTTTTATTTTTTTATTTTTATTTTTATTTTTTAATATATTTTATTGATTTTTTACAGAGAGGAGGAGAGAAGGATAGAGAGTTAGAAACATCGATGAGAGAGAATCATCGATTAGCTGCCTCTTGCACACCCCCCACTGGGGATGTGCCAGCAACCACGGTACATGCCCTTGGCCGGAATCGAACCTGGGCCGACGCTCTACCCACTGAGCCAAACTGGTTTTGGCGAAAACACATCTTTATTAACCACGCAACTTAATCGAAGTAAATATCTTGTTTCTTACAATAAGTTGTATCAACTTTCATTTCATAAACATAGTAAACGAAAAGCTTCCTCTGAAAGGGGAACATGGCAGCGATGGCATACTGAGAGAATCAAGAAACCACGTGATTTGACAGTGACCTTGTGACCACGCCCAGAAAGAACTGGAATCAGCCTCGGCGCACTGGAGAATGGCTCTCCTTTCTTACAGAGGCGATGAGGGTGGGGAGGCAAGGAGGACACTAAGGTTTGGTCCTCTGGGGAGGAGAGGAGACGGAGGGAAGGACCGGCAGGAAAAAGGCAGGCAAGTCCTGGCAAGATGAGGATGTGGACGGCAGATCCCCAAAGTCCACCTTGGGTGTGTAAGAGGAGCTTTATGAGCCACCATCTTTGTGAACCTAGCTGGTGAAATAGGCACCAGCCCACCAGAGATCCCGTTTGCTACCACAGCCAGGAGGTGCCACACAGCCCCAGGACCCCACGTCATCCCCGCAGGGCTGGGTGTGGCTTACGTGCACATTGTAAGCTGGAGCGGACAATGGCTACAGGGCAAGGCCAAATGGACCTGGTCCCTCTGGGTTTGGACTGAGCAGCGGCCCCCAGCCTCTCGGCTGTAGCTGATGGGCTTTACGAGGCTTCCCTACCCTGCACTTCAGACCACCGAAATCCTTCAGACCCGGATTGTTACAATATGGCGGAGTCTTCCTGCCTCTCCCCTAACCTGTCCTAATGGTCAACGTCCGAAGTTGACGCACCTAAGTATGCTGTATGCTTCACTGCTTTGGTTTTGTACCGAGGAATGCCCACTGTTTTCAGCCTTTAGTGTGGTATAGGCCTCGGCCAATCAGAACGGATGCCGGCCCATCAGGGCCCGGCCTGCCTGCCTGCTGCATCAGTGGGTGCCGGCCGAACCTCAGCGGGCTTTGTTCTTTACACGCTCAGAAAAGGAATGAGAAGAACAGCCTTCTCTCCTGGATCCTCCTCCCTTTCCTTTACCTTTCCTTTCCTTTGCAGTGCCCCCGAGAAAGCGCTCCCCTAGAGCAGGGAGCTCGCTCGCTCATTCATTCATTCACTGGGTGGCGGCCAAGGCCAGCGGCACCAGGTCCCAGTCCCCGTGGGAGCCCCACGGCGAGGAGGCCGGGCCATGCAGACCCTTTTCCCACGGGCCCACCAGCCGCTAAGAGGGAGGCTCGGTAATGAATTGGGTCTGCAGCTGCTGTCTGCTCCTTTTCCCACATCAGAGGCATTCATACCCAAACCACACTTCTGAAAATTTCCATGTCAGAGTAAATACCGCCTTTCAGCCTCTGGTGAGTCATCTTCATCTCCCACAAACGCTCGGGGAGCTATGATTAAAGATAAGCGGAGACTGTCAAAGATGGTGGCTCACACAGGCCAGGAAAAAAAGCTCGTAATTCCTCCTGTTCTGCATGAAACTAGGGAGAGGAAAAGGGGCCAGGGTCACTGCTGTGGTCTCAGGGTTGAATGAGAGCAATACTGCTTGCTTGTTTGCTTTGGTAAGAACCTGGCTCCCAGGCCTGGGACCATCCCTCAGGGCGCAGGGCAGCCTGGGCTTTATCTCCGGGGATGCCCAGGACTCAGGCCCTGCTGGCAAACAGTGCCAAGGACTTTGAAAAGAGCAGACTTGTGATTCACCAAAGAACTTGTCTGCATATATGCATAACCTAGGGACACAGACAATAGGGTGCTGAAGGCCTGGAGTGAGGCCCGGGGTCAGGAGGGGCAGGCTAGAAGGGATCAACAGAGGAAAAAAGGGGATAGATGTAATACTTTCAACAATAAAGATTTATTTATTATTATTTAAAAAAATATATTTTATTGATTTTTTACAGAGAGGAAGGGAGAGGGATAGAGATCTAGAAACATCGATGAGAGAGAAACATCGACCAGCTGCCTCCTGCACACCTCCTACTGGGAATGTGCCCACAACCAAGGTACATGCCCTTGACCAGTATTGAACCTGGGACCCTTCAGTTGGCAGGCCGATGCTCTATCCACTGAGCCAAACCAATTAGGGCTAAAGATTTATTTATTTATTTATTTATTTATTTATTTATTTATTTATTTATTTTTAAAATAGATTTTTATTGATTTTTTTTTTTAACAGAGAAGAAGGGAGAGGGATAGAGAGACAGAAACATCTATGAGAGAGCAACATCGACCAGCTGCCTCCTGCACACCCCCTACTGGGGATGTGCCCGCAACCAAGGTACATGTCCTTGACCGGAATCGAACTTGGGACCTTTCAGTCTGCAGGCCGACGCTCTATCCACCGAGCCAAACTCGTTTCGGCAAAAGATTTATTTTTAAAAAAGAAAAGAGCAGACTTCTTGGGAAGGCTGTGAAGCAGGTTACAGGCGCAGAACCAGGAGCGAGTGAGCACGCTCACAAGATGAGGGCGAGGCGGAGACAGAGGCCAGTGTGTGCACGCACGCCTTCGCGTGTCCACAGTCACTCTTGCTGACTAGACAAGAAGGCAAAGCCATGTCCTAGTGAAAGGGGCCGACTAAAACCTACCCTCTGTTTTCCAGGAGTCTGCTCGAGTTCTCAAAAAAAAAAAAAAAAAAAAAAAAAAAAAAAAAAGTCCCTAACTATGATTTTAAAGTATTTTCTCTTTTCTCTTAGAACTCAGCAAAAAGGTATCTCAGCGCAGCTTTGAACAGATTCTTTCAGTTGGAAAAACATGTGAAAATAGATTTAGAGCGTTTCCAAGCGTCTTTGAAACACTCCTAATCCTCTCGGTGCCACAGGATCTGCTCAGGCAAGTTAATGTCTTGAATCCTCTGAATTCTCAGGCGAGGCTCCCCCTAACACTTAAAAAGAAAACCCGGCGCTTGTGAGGCACAGGCTGGTGGCTAGAACACCGGGCAGAAAACAGCAGCCTTGGAGGGGAGGGTGGCTGGGAAGGGAGGGGAGTCAAGGCTTTGCAAGCTTTCTGCGTGAAAGAAGCATTATCATATTTGAAAGAAGCACAAAATTGGCAACCTTGTGAAAATGATAACAACCATAAAAGTTTTGATTGAAGATGTTACTAATTTACAATCAATATTAATCTTACCTTCTTTTTTCCTGTCATATTCCATTCTTTTAGAACTTGGATTGCGCTGCCTAGACAAAGACAAAGGGCCTTTAATGGGTAGTCACATAATAAAACACGGCACAAAATTCATCTCGGTCTTTTCATCTCGATAGCAATCCCCACCCTCCCCTACCCCCGGCTTTTTCATTTGTTTTGATACGTCCTACCTTAATAAAAATGCCAGTTTCGTGTTTTACTTCCAGATTTTCATTTAATTCACCGCATGATCTTGGTTTTATCAAAACATTAAGCCCTACTACATAAAGCTTATTTTTCTTGGTCATTATGCTGTCTTAGGGAAAATGAAATATATCTTGAGAATTTTCTGCTAGCTGCGTTGCCGTAAGTAGAATTAAAATTGTTCTGTTGGATAGATGAATCGAAAGGCCTCTAATCTTCCGGGCCAAAGGTGGGGTTTTGAGTGTTATTGACCATGTGAATCACTGGTTTTTGTTTGGCCGTTCCTGCTCTTTTCCCTGCCTTGACTGTGTTCACGGTTTGCAGGGTGACAGGCCAGACCAGCTGATGTGAGCTTTGCGCTCATCCGGGGGAAATGAAGGGGGTGGTCTTTGCCAGGCGCCCACTTTGAAACAGAAGTTCATCAAATGACAACAGTGCCAGGCTCTGTCAATGCCACTCACACATGTGGAGCCACTCAGGCTCAGAGGAAAAGACTAACCTTGTTTGTATGTATGTATGTATGTATATATGTACGTATGCATGTATTAATCTTTTGCTCAAGTAAATGCTTCCACCTATTCTAGCAAAGTTCTTCCCCTCATTCCAGCTGAGCTGGGGGTAATTTCAACAATAACTTATTGGTAATGAGTGCATTAGCTTTTTTCATATTAAGCAGTTACTTCTCCAAGAGTAAGCGTTCTCATACAATCTCATTACACTGTAGTCGTTCTCTGCAAGGAGTGTGTTGGCCAAACAAAGATAAACTTGAGCCTGAGCTTTGTAAGAAATTTCAAATTAGCCGGGTCCCAATTATGGAGTCTGCTGTCACTGTTGGGTAAGCAGAGGCGGCGTTGCTTTGACTAATGTTCAGACGGGCTAATTAGTCCTGTCTACTCAATGTTTCTGACTCAGCGGCCCTCACAGGCTTTTTGAGTTACTTGTACTTGAAATAATAACGCTGCACTTAAAAGTGCACCACAGTTCAGACTTTCTGTTAACTGGGCTGGCCTTCCTCCGATTTTCCCAAAGAACTAATGCTTCACAGGATTTCCCTCTTGAAGAACTTGAGGAAGTCCCTTTCATTGGGTTTCTGGGTAAGTCTCACCAGCGGTGGCCCTCACTCTTAGATAAGCTTCAGGTTTTTAAATAACATTTTTTTTAAATGTCAAAAGACTGCCCTTTTTAAGCAGAGGAAGGAAGTAAATTGCTTCCTGCTTTTTCAATGGCAATACTCAATTATTCCTCTGGTTTTCATATTTTGACATAAATTCTCACCGTATTAAAAAAAAAAAGAGCTTCTGGAGGGTAATTCTGAAGAAGTAACCATGTTTGCAGGGAATTGTGAAACTGTTACTGTTAAAGTTTAATTATACTGAAAATGCTTGGGGTTTCCTGGGCCACTTGGAAGGAGCGCTGTTAATATGTCATGTAAGTGATTGCTGACACATAGTTTTGATTCCCCGTGGCTTTTAAACAAGCTGTGTGATGGGTCCCCAGCCACAACAGCACGGGGCTCCTCAGCGATCGGTGAGGGTTTTATTTAATGAGACTGCGACCCAGACAAGGCGAGCATTCCAGGAAGGGCAAGCAAGGTGCTCTATGTAAACACCACGGGGCTCTGGCAGTGACCAGTCACCGGGCGTCCGCGCGCTTCCTCGGAGTCACTCTAATGAAACCTTCACTGTGGGCCACAAGCCTGTGGGGGAGAGGACAGTCGCCCTAACCCTTTCCCGAGGCTCCGGTTCCATTCGAGCGATGCTGCCAGGGGAAACCCGAACAGTGTGTCTGAGCCAGGATGTGTGTGGCTCCAACATTTTCTTTCTGATAAATTTAAAATACACACACACACACACACACACACACACACACACACGTAATTATTGATTTCAGAGAGAAAGGGAGAGGGAGAGAGATATAGAAACATCAATGATGGGAGAGCATCATTGAAGGCTGCCTCCTGCACGCCCCTGGGATCATAAAGCATCACCCTCAAGGATTCCAGTCGTAGAGCCAAGGAGAGCGACAACGTCCCAGGTCGGAGCGAGTCCTTCCCCTTCAGGCACAGGACACGGTCAGATAAAGCGCGTGTTCAGGAACAAACACGAATGACTGGCAGCAGTGGCATTATAGCAGTACTACAGGAATCCTTTAGGAAACACTTAGAAAACATCTATAGTGTTTTCCCACTAGTAACGATGGAAGAAACGCTAAGTTGTGTTCTTGTTGGGTATGTCTGTGTGTCTCCCAACATGCCTGTTCTCATGGGAAAGCATCAGTAACGAGTGGGTATTCAGGGCACTTAGGAACCCGTATGGAAGCCCCGGGCATGCAGCTCTGACGTCCCGGGTCCGGCCGCACTCACCGTCCACAAAGGCCTGCACGGCCTTGTCCACGTTGAAGTCGAACTGCTGCAGCACCAGCACGATCTCGTTGTTGCTCTTGTTGGGAACCACGGAGCGGACCGCGTAGATCTGGGAGGGGAGGAGGGGGAAGGAAGGGAAGTGCTTTAAACATCTCCCACTCGGAGATCTCTCACGGGACACAATGGCAGCTGTGGGAAAGGCCTCAGCCCTCAGCCTGCGCAGGCCTTCCGGCCAGCGGGCGTGCACCCTGCAACCACCTGGACACCCGGTGCTGCGCCCACATGTCTTACAAAGGTCCCCTTGTTGGGACTCCAACGGCGAGTGTGAAAAGCCAGCTACCCTCCCCAGGGCTCCAGATGCACACCGATGTGTGTGCGGGAGGACACGGGATGTGCTCTGTCTCAGGCTCCCCCTGCACTGGCTCCGAGGGGGTCTCTGGGCCTCGTGCCTCAGCGTCTCTGCTCCGGACAGTGGAAACCGTCACCCCGAGGCTGCCGGTGTGAACTCCTCTGATGTTTACAGAAACAGAGAAACGTGGGCATTGTGTTGTTCAAAATGGCAGTCTTAGCCACAGGGCAGAAAATGCTCCCAAACACACATGTGAAAACAAAGCATTTCCAACACAGTAAATACATATGTGAGAGCAAAGGAGTGCAGTAGATTAGGCTGACAGTCAATTTTTAAGAAAATATATTTTATTGATTTTTTACAGAGAGGAAGGGAGAGAGAGAGAGAGTTAGAAACATCGATGAGAGAGAAACATCAATCAGCTGCCTCCTGCACATCTCCCACTGGGGATGTGCCCACAACCAAGGTACATGCCCTTGACCGTAATCGAACCTGGGACCTTTCAGTCCACAAGCTGATGCTCTATCCACTGAGCCAAACCAGTTTCGGCTGAGTCAATTTTTAATGGCCTGTACATATTTCTTAGTCAAATTTAACATGTCTTCTTTCATCTGGCTTAGCAGGACTGATCTCTACCTCCCTGGCAATTGCCATGGGGTGCTCTATCCACGTTAGCAAAGCCTGGCTCCCCAGCTTCCTGTCAAGGAGATTACTGCAGCTGCTACGGACAAATACGAGGGTGCTGCCTGGTGCCAAGGTAAGTGGCATCACAGGGGTGACCGCGGCACGATCTTCAGTGTTTACGTCCATGGTGTGACCAGTTGAGTCTGTGAGTTGCCTGCAGTTCACTGTAATCAGATTCATGGCTTATGGGTTGTATGGGTATGGATGTAATGTGGCTCCATTGACTAGCACATTTAGTTATGTTAGGAAACAGATCGCCTTCTCCGTACAGAGCTGTACATATGAGAATTTAGATTATGCTGAGCAAACAGTACAAGCGATGGGTGAATGACTTGTAGAGGTTCTGACACTATAGATCAGAAAGCTGGTTTTCAATCTTAACACTCAAAACCGCTCACTCTGTGGTGTTTACTGAGGACTCCTACAACATATGTATTTGCATATGTGATTCAAGATTTCTCTGTTTTTTTTTTCTTCTATTCTCAGTTTATGGTTCTTAGTTTTTCTAGCCTCTGTATTGAAAAACAGTAACTACTTCAAATCTAAGTTGTTGTTTTTTTTCTCTTTTAAAAAATCCATTCAGTGACTATTTTTTGAATGTCTGTTGTGTGACAAGGCATCAAACTTCCTGGAACTTACAGTCTAGAGAGAAATGTACACATTGATCAGATGATCACATAAACATATGCCAGCACATGGTGATAAAAATCTATAAAATCTTATGACAGGGAGACATGCATGCCTTTATGTAGGTATGCTGAGGTCTGAAGTGAGAAGAGATGATGGGAGGTAAGGGTAAAGACATTTTAGGTGTGTATGTGTACATACATGTGTGTGGATATATATATATAGACATATATATTTACATACATATATATATGTGTGTATATATATATATGTACCTATACACACACATAGATTTTTGCATGTAAATGCAAGTTAAGGTGTTAATTTTATACACTTATATATTACAAAACGATTACCACTATAGCATTAGCTAGCATCTCTATCTCATCACATAATTACTATTTATTTTGTGGTGAGAACATTTAAGATCTACTTTCAACTTTCAAATACAAGATACAGTATTATTAGATACAATCACCATGCTGTACATGAGATCCCCAGACCTTCTTAAATCTCCTAACTGGAAGTTTGTACCCCTTGGCCAATATCTTCCCATTTCCCTCTCTTTTTAAAAAAAGTTAAGATGGGGAGAAAAACAAAAACAGACCTACATCCAACCCAGGGAAGTCATTATCAGCGGTGCCCAACTAGAACTACAGTGGCCCTGTATTTACCAGAGCCTTGGATGTCTAAACATTACATGCGACCCTTCTAACACAGTTCTTTAAAATAAAATTCTAGCATTTCAACCCACTCTAGTTGGTTAGTATTATACAGAATTCCTAAATAATCACCATTATTATTACCACTTCAGCCATGCTCTTCTAAATAATACAATCCTTAGTTATTTATGACATTAACTACATTATACCTGGGTTTGAACTGTGCAGGTCCACATAGCCTTGGATGTTTCAAATAAATATTGTAAAGGTATTTTTTTCTTCCATATGATTTTCTTGATACCATTTTCTTTTCTCTAGCTTACTTTAGTGTAAGAATACAGAATAATACATGTAACATACAAAGCTGTGTTAATTGTTTACGTTACTGGCTTCCGGTCAGCAGTAGGCTTATTAGCAATTACGTTTTTTGGGGAGTCAAAGGTTACCCTCCAATTCTTGACTGTGCGGAGAAGAGGGAGGGGCATGCTGGTAATCTGCCACCCTCGTGTTGTTCCAGGGTCATCTGTAATAACATTAGACCAGAGTTCTCAACCCACAGCTGTGTGATCAGTAAAGACCCACAATCCTATATAATAAAAGCATAATATGCAAATTGACCAAACGGCGGAACAACCAGTTGCTATGACATGCACTGACCACCAGGGGCATATGCTCAACGTGGTTGGATATAGAAAACATCCATCTGGTCATCTTATACATCCTAGCTCTTAACGTTGTCAACAACAGAATTCTGACACCAAATCTAACTGTGGATATTGCATACGATTCCCAGAGGAAGCCCCTTGCTGGAGCTGCACTCCTCTGCATCCCTCTGGGTGCTGATGCCATAAACCAGTGGGCCAGGTAGCCAGTGGGCGCAGGCTGACAGTCTGGAGCCCTTGTTCGCAATTGGCTTAGCAGCTGCCTTGCCTTTCCCAAATCACGTTCCCTTGCTTTAGAAATTGGCTTTTGCTTATTCTTAGGTATCCCATGCACCTCAAAAGTGGTTGTGATTTCGCCTTCAGTGTTTTAATCTCCCCTTCCCTTCTCTCTCGAATGCTTCCTATCTGGCCGGGCAGGTTTTGGCCCGTTCTGCCTCAGGCCCGCCTGCTGGCATCGCGCCCTCACCAAGCAGAGGCTGGGCTTCCATAGCCTTTCCACTGCAGCTTCCTACCTTCCCCTCCCTCCTCTGGACCCCGTGGTCCGGTGTTAGAGCTGCTAGCAGCTTCCTCCTTCGCACTGTGCACTTTGTGAGCCTGTCGGGGATGGCTCCTTAGAAATCCTTCCACCTCACCCATGAGTCATTGAGACTGTGCCTGGGTTTCAGAGATGGATCAGACCCGTGTTCAGTCCATCCACACAATGGTGTGATCAGTAAAGACCCAGCATGATCACATAAACATAAACCCCACTCCCTCTGCTCCAGGCTCTCCCCACAAATCCACCCCCCTGCTGCCAGACGGCTCTGCCCAGAGCGGAACAGCTGCCGTTCACCACCTTCCTTCCTGAGAACAAAGCCAGTCTCTACCATCTGGCAGTCGGGGCCATGAGCAGCTGGGGCTCCAACCTGCTCTCCCAGTGCCCCTCCTACTCTGTCCTTTAAGGACAAACACAGCCCGGTGCTGGGCTCCCACCCCCACCGCTGTGCATTCTGCCTCTGACCTGAGCTGTGTGTGTTTGCTGAACCTTACACTCCAGCTGAAATGCCATGTGTCCCATGAAGTCCTTCCCATCCCTTTCAGAGGTCATCCCTGCCGCCTTTCAATTCCCACAGCCCTGAGCAATAGGTCTCTCTCTCTCTGTCTCTGTCTCTCTCTCATTGTTTTAAAGGGAGCGACAGATACATCAATGATGAGAGAGAATCATGGATCAGCTGCCTCCTGCATGCCCCCTAGTGAGGATTGAGCCCACAACCCAGGCATGTGTCCTGATGAAAATCAAACCGTGACCTCTTGGTTCACAGGTGGACATCAACCACTGAGCACAGGGCTGGGAAGCAGGAGGTCTCTCTTAACACTTAGCACCTGTTACTCTATATCCATGTGTTTGGTACACACTCTGTCTCCCAGGCAGAGAGCGCAGACTCCTCCTCTCAGACACTTGGTGCAGGATCACCATGCCCGCTTGGAGGAGAGCATGCCAATGTGTAGGTACACCAGGCGGCTGCCTTGAGTCACCAGCGTTTTTACCTTCCACAGTAACAGACTCCGCTGACTGCGATGTAACTAAACATTACATGGGCAGGAAGAATACACATATGTTCCTTCAATTTCAGTAACAGAGAGGGAAAAATATTTGTAAGACTTGATAATTTTGCTTCCTTTAGAACATACTCATGGTGTTTTGTGGTGTTTTAAAAGTATAAAGTGAGCCTGGCCGGCATGGCTCAGAGGTTGAGTGTCAACCTATGAGCCACGAGGTCATAATTTGATTCCCGGTCAGGGCACATGCTCGGGTTGCAGGAGGCAGCTGATCCATGATTTTCTCTCATCATTGATGTTTCTATCTCTCTCCCTCTCCCTTCCTCTCTCTGAAATCAATAAAAATATATTTTAAAACAAGGACTGCACCTGGCCTCTAATAGAGTAAATACACACACACACACACACACACACACACACACACACACAATGAGTGGCCAGATTATTATGCGTTAAGAGATCATAACAATCTGGCCGCTCAGTGTTTATGTAATTGTAATTTATGCAAAGCGAGTGACAGGAAGGAGGCTATCAGAACACAGGGACAACGCCACAGTGTCAGGAAGCAGCCTGGCCGAAGAGACGA